GAAGTGTGCGGGTGTGGGGCCGGCCAGCAGTGCTACCCGCGGGCTGGCTGCCTTCCAGGCCAGGACTCAAGTTTTAGGTACTTTTCCTGCAAGTGAAATGCTCCCTTTAGCCTCTGCGTCCGTCCTCCGGTGTACTGATGCGAGTAGCAGGCAGCTTTGGCTAATAATTGTCCAGGCCTCTGAACTCAGAAGTCGGCCTTTGTACAACCTTGTTAAGACCGCAGAGTTGGCCAGACACTGTGCATCGCGGAGCTGCCTTACCTGGGTGGACGCCTGCGCAAGGGGGGACCGGGACCGAGGCTGAATGCAGCCATGGAGGTGCAAACTCCATCCCCACAGAGCGTGCTAGCTCCAGCTCCCGCGTCCTCGGCTGGCTCGGGTCCGTCCCACAGCAGAACTCCGGCAGCTCTCCTCTGTGCCCCCGGAGGACCCGAGCCCTTTCTTCTTCGAGTTCGTCACCCTGTGTGCCTCTCTCGGGTTGTCTGTGTTTGTCGGACCCTTACCCTCACGGTCGGGCTGGCAGACTTCAAATTAGCCGTGAGACCGCTCAGGTGTCGCGGTGTCTCAGTACCGATTGGGATGGCCGCGTCTGTCTCTCAGCCGTGTTGCCCCTGGGTGACTTGTCGTCGCCATCCTCTGTCCTCAAAGTCTGCATCTCACTGGGGGCATCTGCTTCTGGGCACTCGGGAGTCGATGATTAGCCCGTGCAGTGCAAGAATTTGGCTCCTCCCAAGTCCACCGAGGGCACACGCGGGGTCAGAAGCCCCCAGAGAAGAGGAATCCCCCCCACCAGACAGGGCTGTTGGAGCCATGACTCAAAGCACAGCACTGGCTGCTGAGTCGATGCTGAGCCCAGAGATCACGTGGAAGCCGTGACTTCCACGTGGAAGCGGGATAAGACACCCACGAATGAATGGGCAGTAGGGCACCCGTGAAGTTACACTAACTGTTCAGGGCGGCAGCGCTGGGGTGAGGGGAGGGGCGGGGGGTCTGTGGCTCTGAGACGCATTCGGTGGTCCAGTTTGAAGCCTGATTCTGCTGCCCCTGGCCACAGGCCTTGGGTTAGTTGCTGCTCCTCTGAGCTCGGAAATACTGACATCCAGCCCTCAGCAACTGGGGGCAGTCAATGAGGGGCAGCAGGTGTTTAACATTTGTGGTGATCTGCATATAAGAAATGGGTCAACAGGTGGTGGGGCCCCCACCCCAGATCCTGACTGGGCAGAGACCACGTGTCCCCCAGGTTCCCAGGGATCCAGGTCACCTGGGGAAGGGGTTACCTAGAAGCCACCCGGGCATGGGAAAGGAACTACAATGTCAACAATCGGAATCAAGCAGCACCTGGCAGAGAGTCGCTGCTTAATAAGAACAGAGAATGCGTGGCCAGGAAGACAAGGGCCAACTACATGAAGGGCCGGATCTGGAGAGCCACACGGGAAGAAGCCGTAGGAGCAGAGTCGAGGAGGGACCACCTGGTGCACATCTTGGCGCTGGGGCCCAAGGTGCTGGGCCCAGCTGGGCCCCTGGGGCTGGAATGGCTCGAGTTGGGGGAGAGAGGGCTGTGGAGGCTGAAAAAACGGGCTGGGAAAATAGCAGTGGGGCTGGAAAAGCGGCAAGAGAGGCAAGCGTGGGAGTGTCGGGGATTAGACCCGCGGGTGTGGACAGGGACTCCGAGCCTGGAACCAGCGTGAGTGCCCTCAGGGCGAGCTGACCCCACGGCCTGCTTGACCTCACAGCCTGCTTGGCAGAGGCCCTGGAACAGGCAACAAGGATTCTTGTCCGACTCCGAGAGACCAGGGGCGTGGAAAAGGCAGGGCTACGCCACCCGGTTATTCACACAGCAGGCAGGCGAGGCCCGGGCCCCTCTCAGACGGCACTAGGGGTTTATGCTGAGAACGCTCATGGCCATTATACCCAGGAGACATGAGACAGCTCTCTGATCTCTGTAACAGCAGCTCCCATTCCTAAAGGACTCTCGTGGTTAAGGATCCAACAATAAGCATGCTTGTAAGAGACAAAGGTAAAAATGCCCGAGGGGACCAGCTCAGCCACCCCAGAAGTGGCCCAGCCGAGACCCTCACAGGGTTCGCCCGTTGCCCACGGGATCTCATGAAGATCCGTGTCGGGGAGGAGGACATCCCCCCTGCCCATCAGATCCCAAGATCTCCCTCCCACAAAGCCACAGCGCAATGAGAGGCAAGAACACAGAGACCGAGGCCCACTGAGAATGGAGAACTGGCAGACAGACCCGGGCACACACGGGAACTTGATACCCCGCAGGGGTGACACAATTCAGACCGAAAGAATGGACCCCGAAAGAACGGAGCTGGGAGAACTGGCTCCCTGCACAGCGGAAAATAAAACCACTGCTCTGCTTAATCCCGCCAGGCGTGGACTGTGTTTCCAGGGGGATTAACGCCCTCGGCCTGAAACCTGAGCAGAGGGAAGTACAGGAGAATGCCTTCCAAGCTGGGGAGAGAAAATGCTCCCAAACTGCCTTGTAGTTCTGTGTTTTACAAAGAATGCCACGGACAGAGAAGAACTCGCAATTCCAAAAATGAAAGGGATAAACAGCAAGAGAGCCCCACCAGAAGGCTAGGCAGAGACTCGGAACCACTTTTCAGATAACGACACTCAAAGTTGAGATGCTTGCTGTCCTCAATCAGAGGACAGCAGACGACAACGACAACGGGCTGGGTTCTGGTCCTTACCTGGGCACGGAGCAAGAATGGTGGGTGATGCAAAGTGGTAGAATGTGGGTGGGAAACTAACCTCGGTCTCCTGTTACTATAACAGAGTACC